TATGATTAGCCGCCTGTCTTGGATACATGCAAACTCTGTGTGTGTGTGTGTGTGTGTCTGTGTATCTGTGGCACTCCACTTGATGAATATTTTGCTATTCCCCTTTCATTTTTAGGGTTCCCAGTGCTGCTCTCAAGTTGTTTACTCTTCTTTCCGCTGAGTCGTACCGTTTCATGCTTTGAATTGCACATTCGATACCAAGCCGTTAACATAAACACACACACACACATGCACACACACAGAGTACCACGCCCCACCTCTCGCCCCCCTCTGCCTGTAGTCTTGTTTGCCAACTTTGCTTTTACATACATATATCGATTGGTTGACGTCGCCTCAGCGCGAGAGAGAGAGAGAGAGGGAGAGGGAGAGAGACAAATAGAAAAATAAATAAATAGAAGACTTTTAAAAAAATTACGTGTCCATTTTGACAACGCCCCAGGCCTTCTGGCCACTCCCTCTTGCCCCCCCCACCACCATCCTCTTGGCTCTTCCATTTAGCTAGCACCCAACGCGGTAGAGCGGATTATTTTACAATGTTTACAGCTGAAAAGCTGAGGAGAATTGATGTTCTACATACACGTTGATAATTTGATTAATTTTCCACATAAAGCAAAACTAGCGCATAGCTTTTCATTGGGGCTAAAAACAAGCAATTCAATTTATAATCGATTTACGTAGAAACATATATAATCATCCATATATTATTATATGTGCTCAAGAATAACACCATCATCAACATCGTCTTCAAGCAGTGAAATCAATAATCATTTGATTAACATAAACAAACTTAGAATATCAAATTAAAGTTGAGCGTATTTCGTTCGGTTCTTTTGTTGTTCGTTATATATGCATTTATATATATATATACGCATATATGCTATATAATATATACAATCTGATGTATTCGGTGTATTTGTATGCCAATTTGTGATGAGTGTATAATGGTGGCGCCGCGTATCGTAAAACAATTCCAATGCCATTTATGCCGCATTTTGCTCGGACTCCTTTTTAAATCAATACCCATTGCAATTATTTAAAAAGGGTATTCACATCTGACTTCCTCAGTGGATGCTGGCTGTGCATCACTATTTAAAGTGAGTCCAATATTTGCCTTCATTTTGAATGCATTCTCCACCAGTCGCCTTCGATTCTTATTGCAAATGTTTTATCCAAAATTCTTGTGATCTATGGAAGCTATATAGATCTTATTCATTATTATTTAATCTGTGTTTTATAGTTGCATACTCTGCTCTGCTCTCAAAGAGACAAACAGAATTTATTAGTGTTGCAATCGAATCTTTAAGGCTTCTCAAGACTTGACCCTTAAAATGTCGAATCGTGTTGAAAGGTTAAGCTGAATATTATTTCGACCTCTTTTGCACTGTGTACAGAGTATTGCTTAGTCGGCTAGCCAGCGACTGGCAATATTCTTATTTGTTTTTAATTGATTCATTATAATGAAATAAATTGCATTTCATTTGTGGCTTCTTGTGCGCATATCCTTTGATTGCAGTGCTCCCTCTCTCCCCCTCTCTCTCTCTCTCTCTCTATCGCTCTCTATCGCTCTCTCTCTTGCTCTGTTTCCATTGCATTGAGCTGTCAGTGTGTGTGTTGGGTGTGGATGGGATGGAATGGGAGGGGGGGTGTGGATTACAGCTGTCGCATGCTTGGCTGCGCTTGGCTGCTGCTCATCGCTGTCTGTCCATCAGTTGCGGCATGGTCCAACTATCTACATCCGCCCCGTGTCGTTGCGCCCCGAATCTTAGAGTCCACATCTGTTATGCGCCAATCCCCCTTCCCCTCCCCCTCCTCCGTCATTCCCCATTTCTTCCATTTCACCTGCCTGTCTGTCTGTCTGTCTGCCTTTCTGTCTGTCTGTCTGTCTGTCTGTGTGTCTTGGGCTGCCTGTCGAAGACAATAAGTCTTCGCATGTTCTTTTCGGCATCTGCTCTGCGCGCAATTTTCCTGCAATTAAATGTTGCAACTGCCGAAAAACGAAAAACAAACAACTGCAGCAAATATTTGATATATATATGGCATAAAAATAATAAGCAATATAATTATAAATATTTTCATGCGCCTGAGCCAAAAAATAAAAGAAAAACCAAACGCTGTCCGCTGTTTTCGTGCTTGGAAAACCGCGAAAGAGTCGCGTTGCGTGCGTTGTTGAGCTGAGCGGCTTCGAAAAGCGAGCGTGTAAAATCAGCTGATTGCTTGGATTGATTCGTGGCGGCCTGCTTCGTATTTGTTGTTGTTGTTGTTGTTGTCTTTGTAGATTGGGAATCGTGGAGTGTGGCATGAGTCACGATTGGGAATTGTGGATTACAGATATTGTTGTGGATGGCAGAGATCATCGTGCAGAGTTGTTCGATCGATCCGTCGATCGATCGATTGATATTGGCATATCGGACTAGTCGCTTGGCATCTTCGTTCGTTTGTCGCTGTCGCTGTCGTCGTCGTCGTCGTTGTCGTTTTACGGTTTTGCCCATTCGTTGTTTAC